TGTAACTTGCATATCCTTCCTTTGCAAGTGATAGTTCAAATTCCTTTTGAGTCCGTCAATTGAATTTTCTTCCACCCCAGGCAGTGCATTCCTGATCTTGACTACTCACTTCACACAAAAAGATTTTCCTCTTGTCGCTTTGACTTCTTTCGCCAACTATTTTAATTCTGTGCTCTCTCATCTTTTCATAGGTGAGAATAGTTCTTTCACTCCCCTTTTGAATGCCTCACTTACTTGGAAATCATTTTTATTGGTTACACACCACAAAGGGAGAATGGGTAAAATTTAAATGTTAAGTGATTTCCCTTCTTAAACCTGAAAAAATCATCTATTGCTTGACTTACCCCTCTCCCTTTTTATTCCCAAACCCTGGTTTTCAACTAGTTTCAGATTCCAATTTGCGAAGACCTTTAAGATGACATCAAAGATATGGCTCATTAACCAAACATTCAAAATGCAGGTGATGACACAATGTAGAGCTGGAGGAACACAGCAGGCCAGGCAGCATTAGAGGAGCAGGAAAGCTCTTGTTTTGGGTTGAGACCCTTCTTCAAAAATGGGGGAGGGGAAGGGGGCTCTGAAATAAATAGAGAGGGGGGGCTGTGATAGCAGGTAGGTAGTGGTGGGGATTCGTCAGTGAGGTGGGAGGAGCGGATAGGTGGGAGAGAAGATGGACAGGTCAAGGAGGCGACGATGAGAGGGGGGCCTGGTCTTGGGATGAGGTCAGGGGTGGGGAGATGTTGGAGCAAGTAAAGTCCATATTGAGACCATTGGGTTGCAGGCTCCCAAGGTGGAATATGAGGTGCTGTTCCTCCAGTTTCCGGGTGACGTCATTGTGACATTGGAGGAGGCCCAGGATGGACAGGTCGTCCAGGGAGTGGGAGGGGGAGTTGAAGTGGTTCGCGACTGGAAAGTGTTGTCGTTTGTCGCGAACCGAGCATAGGTACTCTACAAATCGGTCTCCAAGCGTCCGCTTGGTCTCACCGATGTAGAGGAGGCCACATCGGGAACAGCAGATACAATAGACCATATTAGCAGATGTGCAGGTGAACATCTGTTTGATGTGGAAGGTTTTCTTGGGGGCTGGGATGGAGGCGAGGGGGGAGGTGTAGGGGCAGGTGTAGCACCTCCTGCAGTTGCAGGAAAAAGTGCTGGGGGTGGTGGGGCTAGTGGGGAGTGTGGAGCAGACGAGGGAGTCGCGGAGAGAGCGGTCCCTCCGTAGGCAGATAATGGTGAGGAGGGAAATATATCCTTGGTTGTGGGGTCAGATTGCAGATGGTGGAAGTGGCGGAGAATGATGCGTTGAATCTGGAGGTTCACCCCAAGAAAACCTTCCACATCAAACAGATGTTCACCTGCACATCTGCTAATATGTTCCTGATGTGGCCTCCTGTACATCGGTGAGACCAAGCGGACACTTGGAGACCGATTTGTAGAGTACCTATGCTCGGTTCACGACAAACAACAACACTTTCCAGTCGCGAACCACTTCAACTCCCCATCCCACTCCCTGGACGACATATCCATCCTGGGCCTCCTCCAGTGTCACAATGATGCCACCTGGAAACTGGAGGAACAGCACCTCAGCCTTGGGAGTCTGCAACCCTACGGTCTCAATGTGGACTTTACTTGCTCCAAAATTTCCCCACCCCGACCTCATCCCAAGACCAGCACCCCCCATCCCAGCCTCATTGACCTGTCCGTCTTCTCTCCCACCTATCCACTCCTCCCACCTCATTGACCAATCCCCACCACTACCTACCTGCTATCACCACCCCCCTCTCTACTTATTTCAGAGCCCCCTTCCCCTCCCCCATTTTGAAGAAGGGTCTCAACCCAAAACAAGAGCTTTCCTGCTCCTCTGATGCTGCCTGGCCTGCTGTGTTCCTCCAGCTCCACACTATGTTATCTCAGACTCCGGCATTGGCAGTTCTTACTATCTCAAAATGCAGGTGAATTGCTTTCCTGCTCCATTCACACACACAAACACTCTGGATATTAAGGAAAACAGGACAGGTGAGGACAGAAGTTATAAATTAACTGATTCATTAATCAGTTCACACGAATTATGACTTTACAGAGGTAATTCTCCAATAACAATTCCTGCAGCGAGCTGGCTCAGTAGTTTTCCTCATTCCAGCCAACAACTTGGAGACAGAGATGGAATATCTGAGGCAGGCTGTCAACACACCCTGCAGTCCTGCTCTCCAACTGCAGGACAAACAGCAACTAACATGAACTCTCAGAATTGTATATTTAAATAACTCAACCAGCTTTGAGCTCGGTGATGTAATTTAAAGAATAAAAGTCTTGTCTTTGATTTGGATTATTTTTGAGTATCAAAAGGAACATGACTTCTCAGGTTAATGCTTAAAAGCTTTGGACTCTTTGAAATAGGGAAATATCCAGCATAAGAAATGTTGTCATCTGAATATGAGTAAATTATAAGTTAGTAATGTTCTTCTCTTTGTGCATTGAGTTTTGCCTAATAATAATGCCACATCAACTGGAAGTTCTGGTGTAGCTCAGTTGAAAATACCTTTGCTCAAGAGTATGAAGGTCACATGTGCAAATCTGCATTCCAGTAACTTGACCAGAGGGAAACAAATCTAGACTAATTCTCCAGGGTAATACTGAGGTGAGGGCTGCATTTATGGGCAATGTCAGTCAAAGTGGAGCAATGCATTTGTAGAAACATGCCACATTGTGTGACGACTCATTGTATTTGGTCTTTTTTCGAACTAAAATCATCCTCAGAACAGCACACATTAGCCCCAGCCTATACACCATACCGTACACCAGTTGTAGGGGAAAATTGTAAGACTGGTTCATCCAGACTTACTCACACTCCCTTGAAGAGCAGGTTTCTACTGAGTGAAACTTTATTTCTCATCGTTCTGTGATGTTGTCTGATGTGATTAATAATAAAAGAATATTTTACTCTTGCTTGTGAGATTTTGACACGATTAGTAACAAATGCCAACTTTTTTGATCCAGCTCGAATTAATACATTTTTGTGGTTTCCTGTTGCACTCTGTAAGATCTAGAATGAAATATTGTTCTTTGTAATAAGACTGCAATCAAACTGGGGGAAAGTGGAGGTTCAAAAGGCTAACGGTGGCCTCTGTTTCTCAAGTAGTAAAATAGAACAGGTTCGAAGACACAGTTCATTGAGACAAGGTTTTGGTTAGAGCACACCTGGGGGACACAACTTAACTGTATTTTTTAAAATTCATTCATAGGACATTGGTCTTGGAACATGTGCAGTGTAGATTTGCCAAAGAGTCAACAGGAAATTACATAGATTCAGATTGTACTCCCTAAAATTAAAAGGTTGGGGTGATTTGATCAAGTTAGTAAGAGAAATTGAAAGTCTAGAGACAAAGCATTCGATGGTTTTTTGAAGTCTAGGGCTTTGGGAGATGGCCCAAAGTTTACGTGAAGCCTTCATGGAGTGAAATTAAGAATTCTACATGTACAGGTGCTAGATGTTCGAAGGCATCTTGTTTAAATGGTAATTTGGCTGCGGTTAGATAAATTTTAAAGCTGAAATTAAGGGATGTTTGTGATCCAAAATTCTACATAGATATGAGACAAAGAGAGAGTTAGGTCATAGATCAGCCGTAATCTCAATAAATTGCAGAACAGGGTCAAGAGTGAAATGATCTCCTCCTGTTCCTACATTCCAAAGTCTGTTCCTCATTTGGACACGATCACCTCTTTCACTCCCACCAGTCTGAATGGTACAGCTGCAGAGGTACTCTATATTTGTTTATCTTTTACCTTTCTCTAAAACGAAAGGGATCCTGAGGATTACAGTAAAATATATTGGTTTCAAAAAAAAATGAAAGCACCATTATTTCAATTTCCTAAAAGAACAAAAGCAAGACAACATAAACTAAAGGGCACAATTCTAAATGAGGCGCAGGAGCAGAGCTATATGCTCACAAACTATTAAAAGGAGTAAGCAGGTTGACAAATTGATTTTAAAAGGCTTACAGGATCTTTGGCCTCAAAACAGAAGCATAATATTCAAAAGCAAAAAGTTATAGAGAACCTTTATAAACACTAGTCCAAACTCAACAGGAATCGGGTGTCTAATTTTGGACCCCACACTTTTGAAAGGACAGCACACTGATTCAGTGGTTAGCACTGCTGCCTCACAGCGCCAGGGACCCAAATTTGATTCCACCCTTCGGTGACCGTCTCTGCAGAGCTTGCATGTTATCCTCGTGTCTGTGTGGGTTTCCTCCCACAATCCAAAGATGTGCAGGTAAGGTAGATTGGCCACACTAAATTGCCCATTGTGTCCAGGGATGTGTAGGTCAGGGGTGTTAGTCATGGAAAATGCAGGGTTACATAGGTTGGAGTCTGGGTGGGATGCTCTTCAAAGGGTCGATGTGGACTTGTTGGGCTGAATGGCCTGTTTCCATGCTGTAGGGATTCGATGATGAAAGGACATGGTGAGGATGCATAAGAGTTGTTTCAGAAATGAAGGATTTCAGTATCTTAACCAAGTTGGCCACCTTCAACCTAGCTATCTTTACTATAGAGAAGGGTGCAATAGGATTTGACAGAGGTGCTCACATTCATATAGAGTCTTAACAGAATACAGAAAAATTGGTACCATCAGCAGAAAGCTCAAGCACTAGAGGATATCAATTTAAGGTGATTGGCAATTAAAAATAAAATTGACATGAAAACCTTTTTGTTTTTAATGAAAATAGTGGATGGTCAGGATCCTGAATTCACAGAGGGCATGCTGGAGGCAGATTTGATTCTGACTTTCAAGAAAACTGGATTAGTACCTGCAGCATTATGGGGAAGGGAAAAAAAAATCACTAGATTATTCAAGAGTGACCTGGAAACAACAGGCCAAATGGCCTCTTTCTGTCCTGTAACCATTCTACTCCAGTAAATTGCATAGGAGTTCCCTCTTGTGGCCAGTCAACTGCCCAAATGTCAAGAACACCAGAATAAAGGCAAAGCTGGAAAGCCTATTTGAAGTGGCAAATTTCACTTTATGGTATCCTATATGCATGGCATATACGACAAATATAATCAATAAATTATGGTTGCAATCCAGTTTTTTTTCTAGAAAGCGTTGGTGATTCTTATAGATCAAAGTTTACATCCAGTTCACCAGATCCATATTTGTGGGCTAATTCCAAGATTAAATCAATGAGATCAATTTTTTCTGCACACGCGATGCATTTCTCTCCCCAGTCTTCAAGGATCTTCTTTAGCTGGGCCACTCGCAGTTTGTGTAATTCAGCTTTCTTCAAATACAATTTCTTTTCTGTGAGACAGAACACAGAAAAGCAATTCTAAAGATTACATTACGTAACAAACTTGAGGCAGTTTAATACAAGCTATTAATCTAAAAAGCGTATTGTATTCTCTGTTTATGTTTAATAGAGTCTATCTACATTGAATTGTCTGGTGAGACATCAACAGGTAACACACGAAAACACTCTTCTGTTCATTATAAAACAGAATGTTGGTCAAAATTTTCCGTGTGAAAATAAAAATGTAAATTTTACATAAAATAAAATTATGAAACAGCCTATTCCCCTATTACTTTAATTCTGACTCAAGAGTTAGCAGGGATCAGCTGGTAGCACTCTTGCCCGGGTAGGTTCAGATCCCACTCAAGGACTGGGACATGAAAATCAACAGTGCCATTCAAATGCAGTGCAACATTGTCAGAGGCGCAATCTTTTGGGTGAATCATTGATCTGATTCTTCATCTGCTCTCTTGGGTGAACATAAGAAATCCTGTGACCTAAATGTGAAGAGCAGCAAGGAATTCCCTGCCCTCTCCAGTGTCCCAGACAATACTAGTCCTCAGTTGACAAAAATCTTTTCTCATCACGTTATTATTACTTTGTAGTTTGCGGGAGCTTGCTGTGTACTACACTTAAGAATATTCTTAACTGGCTGAGGTTCTTTAGGACTCGCTCAGGTCACTATATAAACATGAACCCAGGGTACTTGTGTAGTCCAAGGTTTGTGCTTTAGAGGTGTTATAATGTCCAGGTTGTTTAAAGATATCTATAAATATGAGCCACTCTCTGCAGGAGTAAGAAAAATCAGTGAAAAGTTAACAGTTGATAACATTTTGAATTTTGTTTTTATTATTTCAGCATTTAGCATCAATAATACACTAACCATGTGTTTCGTGATGCCACTCAGTTCAACTGAAAGATTTATTGCTGCACCAGGATGTGGGAGGACAATAATATTACGCATTCCAAGCTATGTGTGACATGTTGTAGTGAGCACAAAGAGGAATATCCAAGTCTCTTCCATCAGAGTTCTATGGGGTCTAGCATACAGCAATGTCTTCAGCAAAGACAGTGTGTAAGAAGCATGTGACAGTACCAACATTAGAACAGTATGATGAATTAGCCACACATCTCTTGACGTTGCCTATTAAGCATCACAAGGTGTCACCATCATACATGTATCGACACACACTACTATGGGATGGTGCAAGTTCTCAATCTGTATTTCTGAACCTCTTAACTAACTTTAGAATCATTCCTGGACATTTTCTTCTTCTATGGCTTCAGAGTTGTGTCTTTGCACATAAAAGTCAATCAGACATCAGGGTTTTGCTTCAAACCCAATTCTATACTACTATAATAAAAGCAAAGTAGTGTTGTCACTGGAAATCTGAAATAAGAGAAAAGGAAAGCTGAAAATCCTTAGCAGGTCAAGGGGCATCTGGACAGGTAGAGAGAGAGTTAATGTTTCAGGTCAATGGCCTTTCATCAGAGCTCAAATCACACACCGTCCTCTGATGACAGGACAACTGTTTCTCCTGTCGTGATTTAACATCTTAGATTTTACAAAATGTGATTCACTGCTGTTGTTTCTGAGGATTCAGGATCGAGGAAAAATGAATCAAATACATTTATTAACCCATCAGTTTCAGGGAAATATTTAAAATCCCCCGCAATCCAATATGATACTTTTCAGGCCTTTTTATTCCCATCTGTAGTTGAGTTTTATTATTTTCTCTTCCCACTGTTCTTGTTCTTTTAATTGATGAAACATTAGATTTTGGCCAGGGAACAGACACTGGGAAAGTCATCTGTCTCCTTGGAAGTGTCACAATCTTTTATATTGTTTTGTATAGCAGGTAGGAGTCTCAGTTTAACATGTCATCTGAAAGATGGTTGCTCCTGATAAGTGTCTGCCTACATTATGTGCTGAAGCCCTGGAGCAAGGACTAATTATATTACTATGAAATTTGAGAGGCAATAATTCTATTTCTGAACTAAGTTCCAAAAGCCAGTAGATATCCTCTTATATAATCTATTTATGATGTCCTAAACTTTAGGTATTAGTTCTAGCTTCAATCCAGTAACAGTTCAAGATGCTAACTAAAAATATTTGAGATTTTCAAAATGACTTGATTTTGTTGACTTCATAGTTCTTAAAATTTGAAATGTACCACCAGCTACTTTTGATTAGTACATTCCTCTGCTGTTCCATTGTGATTTGTTGGTTTTATAAATGTGAAGTTTGAACCAATTCAATACAAGAGGAATTCATTTTGCCACGAGTATAATTTCTGAGATGTATCGAGTATGTATATATCCATCACAAATGTTGAAGAGTACAGCTCAAAATAAAATTATATTCAGGACAATTCACACAGAAGGTAAAATTCATACCATATTTTAGCTCACATATCTGCATGTCTTTCGCTTTCAGCTTTTCACAGATTTTCTGTACTGGTACATGTGCACTCATTGGTCGTGCTACTTCATTCACAATTTTAGTTGCAGCATCACTCGTTGCTCCAATATAGTAACACTGTAAACAAAAAAGTAGACTACATACTGTGTACCACTATAATTATTCTGTAAATACACCAGAAAATCTTATAGCAAACAATTACAACTACTGCTGACAAACTCTCTCCTATGAAAATTACCAATTCACAGAAGGCTAAAAGTAATTAAAGAAATTATATATTTTATGGGCAAGTTGCTAACTGTCTGTCTTCAATGAAACAGAGAAGACATTTTCACAGTATACATCCTAATTCCTAGCTTTTAACAATGTAACCAAACAAATGAGACAATAGAGCAACTTGCTACTCCATGACATAATCCACTGATGGTTCCATTTTGAATACATACTATACAAAATACGATGTAATCATACAAATTTCACAACAGGATAAGACCAATCATTATCTACATTAGAACTAAACCTCAAACCCCATATTCCTGCTCTGCTCTCCTATTCCAACCTACTTACTGATTCTTATTTAGTTATCCAACTCCCCCTATGATAAGAATTACTGTTTCAATTGCGATGTTATTCATATTCTAATTTTTCTAACCTTCCCTTTTATATGTTTTTAATTTTAAATTGCACGCATTTGTGCCCCTTGTTACCAATTGAATGGGAACACTTTCTCCCTCCTTGAAAATTCTGAAGTTACTAATAGGCTTCCCTCAAATTTCTCTTCTGAACTAACTACAGTTTTAGGTTTTGAGGGTTTTGTATTACGACAATTTGCTTGGGTCATTCCAATAAGCCTACATTATAATGATAAAGGAAAAGGCGCAGTCGAATTAACAACCACCGTTAAACGCAGCTTGCATCAAAAGATACTTACTAAGCGATGTTCCTTTCCTTTAGTGTGTTCACACATTAGCATCAGTTCATTCACTACCATTGCAGGTGTAAAGTCCACATCCTGTGCTTTCAAATAGCTGTAAAACCTCTCCAGAAATCCAATGCATACTGAGAATTTTAGAAAGTGAAGAAAAACTTATCAAAAATAAATATCAAATTGAAAAACAATAAAAAGAAAGATTTTAAAAACTACTTTAGATATTTAAATAATGATAAATCTTTTTTTAAAATCTTCGACAACATAGGCCCCTTTACTTCAAGATGATAACTGATGTGAAGCTGTTGCAGTGTGCTCAATGAACCACACAACCTTTCTTCATTACAGATGAGAAACATTTATTGGATAGTGTTAAATATTACAAACTTACAGTTGGTCTTCAAGTAACATTACGCAACTACATTTGTATGTCCTGTTACAAATCTTACAACATAAAGCATGTTAGATAAAACTCAGCTATTTATATTATTGGTTTTCCTGTCAACAAGCAAATGTGTGTTATTGAAGCTCAAGTTTCATTTTGTAAAATTTTTAATTAACATGTTGGAATCAACTTGGATTGGAATGACCACCTGTGCAATGCTTTCTTAAAGTAACAGAATCCCTACAGTGAGGAACAGGCCATTCAAAAGGGATGTGGGAATCCTTAGATATAAACCACAAAAAGCTAGCATCCAAGTGCAGCGGGTAATAGGGAAGGCAGATGGAATTGTTGACCTTTATTTCAAACTGAATGGAATATAAAAAGAGTCTTGCTAGAACTACATAAGGCACTAGTCAGACCACACTCAGAATACTGAACAGTTTTAGTCCCTTTGTCTAAGGAACAATGTACTGGCAATCCAGAAGGTTCACTACATTGATCCTGGGCATGGAAGGATTTTCTTGAGGACAGGTTAAGTAGGTTGGGCCTATACACATTGAATTTAGAAGAATTTTCTAGAATAAGAAGCCTTCAATACAAGATTAAATGCAAGAGATACGGAAAACAGAACTAAGAGAATGTCTTTAGAGTTAAGAGACTGTGGCATCAGTTCCAGGGTTATAGTTCAGGTAAAAATTAGGTCAACATTTAAAATTAATTTGGATAACAGAATAAGGATAAAAGTAATAAAATGATCTGCTTAAGTGAATACTAAATAATGACAGTGGCTATGACAGTATTGTGAATTCCTAATATTTCTTTTTGTTAAATTAATTTAACAACAGTGGTACTAGTTAAACAGAATACATTTCCCTTCACGGTGATGTCTGAGCTAATAATGTAACAGTCACACAATGGGGTGGTAGAACTTTGGAACTCTTGCGCAAGTAGCAGTTGATGCCCAGTTGTTAGTTTCAGATCTGAAATAGATAATCTTTTGTCAAGTAAAGGTACACGGGATATGGAGTTAGGCCACAGATCAGCCACAATCTTATTTGTTGAACACGCTCAAGGCACTGAATGTCCAACTCCTGTTCTTATCCTAGACACATGTAATCATTCTTGCAAAAACAGTTATTAAAAAAAATGGCATTTCAGGGACAACTTTATAAATGTGAGCACTAAACTGGAGGACTGCCATTTTAGTTCACAACCTGGATTTCAATTTTTATCATCTGAAAACTCTGCTCTCTACTGACGACAATAGGTAATACAGTGTCAAGTTGTTTTCTAATGGGAAATGGGTACGAGCACACATCCAGCCATCTGTTATAGCAAAACTAAATCAGGCAACATCACTAAAGACTTGGTTCAGAAATGGAAAAAGGTATCAAAGGGCAATCTTCTGAGCGTGACCAACGAATACATTGTGAGGAAGGGTTACAGGAACTTTACAACATCTAAATCCATCACTATCCAACCAGGATGGGGGCTCAAATGGTATCATTTCAATCACCAATACACGAGCCTTATTTTGCCAACTACAACATTTTATAAACTGTTACAACACAAAGCAAAATATAGACTTTAAACACAACTGTGAACAAAGTAGTTAATTATGCCTTTTTGAACACAAGACATTCAATATTTGACCTCATAAATTTCTCCTACTATTGAGCAAGTGTACATGCTAAGGTTGGTGAGATTGACCACTTCCATAGGCAGAATGCTAACTATCGAGAATGAGCATAACAGGACTAGTGAATACAAATGATCAGAAATGGAGAAACCAAAGCAAGCAGGAATTGTAGTATGAAGCCACAAAAGCACATGCCTGGATTGCACAAAAAGCTGTTGCACAAAGAGGCAACTGAATTCACCAATTAGTAATTAGGACTGCAAAAAGCTCCAAAACAGAATACAGAGTTTAGAGTAAGGATTTACTCGCTGGTTTAAAAAAAAAGACAAGATTTCAGATGTACACACTCACCAGTTACAAAAAAATGTTACAATGCACCAGTTGCTGCATGCCAGTCTTTCTTCATGAATTTCATTGCCTGTGTGCTAAACATGCTTCCATAAAGTCAAACAAGTTTAGAACAGTTACTTGCATGGTACAGCAACAAATTAGTTCATAACACATAGGGTTCATACTGATTGGAATAATTTATTACTACCTTTTTTTGTTGCTTCAAATGATTTCAACAACCAGCAAGACGGATTGCTTTTTTTTGATAAACATATAAAGCTGGGTCTTTAGTTACATTCCCTCATTTGGGAGGATAACAATCTATTAGAGCTGTTAAATCACTTCTGGTAGACATACAGTGAACATTTCACTACTGTTAAGATATCTGAAAGCTGTAAAAACAACATTACATTTTATAATTAGTGAAAACTTGCATCCCAAAATCATTAACATAACTAAAGATAACAAGGTGTAGAGCTGGATGAACACAGCAGGCCAAGCAGCATCAGAGGAGCAGGAAGGCTGACGTTTTGGGCCTAGACCCTTCTTCAGAACATAACTAAAGCTTGATTTTCCAGAAACCAACTGATTTTCCCTTACAACGTTATGTAATGGCTGCTGAAGTCAATAACTGGGATCAACATTATTATATGAACAGTTGACAATTTATAATTCTCTAAGAATGATGCATCAAGTCTTGACATTTTTTCTCATCAGTATAGAAAACTTAAAAAAGGTACCATTCCATCTCCAACTCAGATTTAGTAAAAACTGTTCAAGGTAAGAATGATTACAGGTAGAAAGAGGCCATTTGGCCCATCATGTACTACTGGCTCCCCATAAGAACAATTTAGTCAGTCCAACCCCACGGCCTTTTTCAGAAACCCCTGTAATTTCTCTCTCTTTCAGGGGCTTATCAAAGTGTCTTTTATGGCCACGTTTGAATTTCTCCCTACAACGGAAGAAGCATATTTCGGAAGTATCTACTATGTTAAAATGTTGTTTCGCGTGTACATATTGATGCTTTTGCAAATAATCTTAAATTAGTGAAATCTGGCTTCATCCCCTCTACCAATCGATCAGGTTTCCATACCAGCTCTATCTAAATCCCTTTATTAATGCTCAATTTTATTTTAAAATAAGGAGTGTAATCCAGTTTCTCCAACCTATCCACGTAGCTGCATTCCCTCATCCCTGAAACCATTCTCAAATCTCTTCTGCAGTCCTGTGAGAGCCTTTACAACCTTTGGTTGAGGAGGAAGGGATGAGAGAGAGAAAAAATATTAACTCAAAAAAAAAATACTGCAGATGTTGGAAACCAAAAAGTAAAAACAGAAGGCAATGAAAACACTCAGCATGTCAGGCAGCGTTAATGGAAAGACAAACAGTTGACATTTCAGGTTGATGAGTCAGAAGACCTAAGAAATGTTACATTTTCTGCAATTGAAACGTGGGAAGATGGGGAAAAAGCGCAAAAGAAAAGGGAAGAGAAAGAAGATTAAATGACAAAAGTGTTGATGATGCAAGACAAAGGTAATGGAAATAGTAAAGAAAAAATGTTTTTAAAAAATTGCTGTCCATTATCAGAAACAAGTTGAATTGTTGATCCTCAGCTGGTCTGGCATCATCTGCAGAGAGAGAAACAATGTTTACTTTTAGGTTGGTGACACTTTATTCAAAATAGGAAAAAAAGGGAACTGAGACAGGTGGGGTAGAGTATTCTAGAGATAGTGTTACTGGATCTCAATTACAAGATCAGAATTACAAGATTACTGGATCAGGAGCTCAAATCCTGTTGTATCAGTTGGGAATTTAAATTCAGTTACTCTGATAAGTTTGGAACAAAACATTAGCATCAGTGATAGTGAACATAAAACTATAAGATTGTTACAAAAATCCATCTGAATCTCTTGCCTACAGTCAGGCCCTTAGCATAACCTGTAGCAGCAGTTGATTCATAATTACCTTCTGAAATGGCCTCACAAACCATCCATTCATATTTGAGAAGTTGGTGGTAAGCTACTTTTAGCTTGACATGGGCAATAACTAGCAATGTCCGCATACCATGAATGAATTTTAAAAACGTCTTCAATTTGGGGGGGGGGGGGGGGGTAGGGTAGGGGGGGGAAGAGGGGTACTAGGCAAAAGGAAAGCCTGAAATTAAAAGTCATTGACCTGAAACATTAACTTATTTTTCTCTCAACAGTCACTGCCTGATTTGATTGTTTTCAGCACTGCATTTCTGTTTCAGATGTTCCAGCAACCAGTGATTTGCCTTTTATTCTCTCACAACAATCTCCATCCCTCTTCCACAGCCACATATTCCTCCCCAACAAAACACACCTGCCGCCCCCATCGCCACTCTCACCCATCTTTGCCCTTACCCTCCCCACCCCCTCATTCCGACTTATTTTTGGGGCGGTATGGATTCTGCGGCGAGCCGGGAGACGAGGCGATTGCCGCCGCTCACCTTCACACTCCCGCGGCTCCAAGGCCTCAGTGCCGGCGGCGATGAGCAGAAGGAGAAGCGGCTTCATGTCGGGGAACACAAACCGCCTCCCGACGGCGGCCGCCATGACCCTCCGCCCATTGGCGGGCACCGCACCAATCAATGCCCGCCTCTCATCGCTCACCGTCGCACGCATCTACCCCTCACTCCAATTGGTGCAAAACCAACATCCTCCCCGCCTTCTCCAAACCGCCTCCAAACTTCACATCCATTGGAGAGACGTTCACCAATCAGAAAGCTTTCCACGTTATTCACCACCCCACTCTGGAAGATACACCAATCAATGACCTTCTCCCGTTTCCCACCTTCGCGTTGTTTCTCTTCCTCGCGTCTATTGGTCAGTGCCTGAGTCCTCCCGTTGCCTTCCCGGCGTGCGTGGCGGTTTCTCCTAGTTACTGAGATGGCGGCGATCGGAGTTCACATTGGGGGCACGTGTAGCTGTGTGGCTATTTATAAGGTCTGCGATCTGGGATCGAATTAAATCTAGTCAATAGAGCGAATGTAACTGCATTAATCTGCATGAGGGGTCCCATGAGCCGGGAACAGCCCCGCGGGGCCCAGGCATCGAGGGGCTGAATGGCCTTCTGCTCCCATTTTTCATTGATTTCAGTCTCATTGTTCTAAAGACAGAAAATCGGCAAATTCAGAGTCTTTAAGAATTCTAGCAGAATCAGTGACAGCAGTCGTTGTCTGCGCAATGGAAGCAGTAAAATTAATCAGAAATGATTGCATGTAATTAAAGCAAAACACTGTGTTTGCTGGAAACTATGAAATAAAGGCCGGAAGTGCTGGATAAACGCTGTGTCAGGCACAAGAAGAAGGGTCATGTTGGACTCAGAATTAACCCTTTTAAACTTTTTCTGCCTGTCCACAGATGCTGCAAGGCCTGCTGATTTTACCCAGCACTTTCTGCTTTTAATACATTGTTGAACACCATGTTCAATTAAGAAGACTGTAAAATGCTTCTTGTAATTTAGACAAGTTGAATAAGTGGCAAATGCATGGAAGGTGAGGTACAATGTGGCTAAATGTGAGGTTTTCCACTTTGGTAACAAAATCAGGAAGGCAGATTTATTATCTAAAGTTCTCTTTGAGAAGATTTGTAGCTTGGGCTGTGAATGAGGTTGTAGACTTGCTTGCTGAGCCGTTGTGTTTGGTTGCAGACGTTTTGTCACCCTGTTAGGAACATTAACGGTGCGAACACCAACTAGCCACCAAGAAACATGACTAGTTCTCACTGGTCTCAATACACACGGGCAAAGAAGGACACAAATTCGACTGGGACAACACATCCATAATAGTACGAGCTGAATGGAGACATGTCTGGGAATTCCTGGAGGCCTGGTATTCCAACTGGAACTCCATCAACAAACATGTTGAACTGGACCTGTTATGCAAACCATTGATTAGCAGAACCGGAAGTAATGCCAATCACCCCAGCAAACCAAAGCATATAAATAACAAGCGGGACAGAACACCAGCACTTCACTGGAGGCGCACTGAAGATGTTACCTAGCAGGGTGACAAAACATCTGCAAGCAAACACGCTGTCTCGGCAAGCAAGACTACAACCTCAGGTTTATTATCTGAATAGTGATAGATTGGGAAAGGAGATTTGGATGTCCTTATACACCAGTTGCTGAAAGTAAGCATGCAATTGCAGTAGGTGATGAAGAATGCAAATGGTGAGACCGCACCCGCAGTATTGTGTGCAGTTTTGGTCTCCTTGCCCAAGGAAGGATATTCTAGCTGTGGAGGGAGTGTGACAAAGGTTTACCAGACACGTATCCACTGGAGTTTAGAAGAATGAGGGAGATTTCATAAAAATCTATAAATTTCTAAGGAGAATAGACAGGGCAATCGCAGGGAGAATATTCTTGATCTTGAAAAGTGTCCATATTACAGAGGAGGAGGTGCTGGACATCTTAAAATACATAAATGTGGATAAATCCCTGAGACCTGATTAGGTGTACCCTAGAACTCTGTGGGAAGTCAAAGAAGAGATTGCTGGGCCCCTTGCTGAGATATTTATATCATCGATAGCCACGGGTGAGGTGCCAGAAGACTGGAGGTCAGTTAATGTTGCGCTACTATTTAAGAAAGGTGGTAAGGAAAAGCCAGAGATCTATAGATTGGTGAGCCTGACATCGGTGGTGGGCAAGTTGTTGGAGGGAATCCTGACGGGCAGGATTTACACGTATTTGAAAAGGCAGTGACTGATTAGGGATAGTTAACATGGCTTTGTGTGTGGGAAATCATGTCTCACTAACTTGATTGATTATTTTTGAGAAAGTAATGAAGAGGATTGATGAGGGCCAAGCAATGGATGTGATCTATATGGACTTCAGTAAAGTATTCAACAAGGTTCCTCATGGTAGACTGGTTAGCAAGGTTAGTTTACATGGAAATCCGGGAGAACTAGCCATTTGGATACAGAACTGGCTCAAAGGTAGAAGACAGCGGGTACTGGTGGAGGGTTGCTTTTCAAACAGGAGGCCTGTGACCAGCGGTGTGCCACAAGGATTGGTGCTGGGTCCACTGCTTTTTGTCATTTACGTAAATGATTTGGATGTGGATGTAGGAGGTATGGTTAGTAAATTTGCAGATGACGCTAAAATTGGAGGTGTAGTCGACAGCGAAGAAGGTTACCTCAGAGTTCAACAGTTTGGACTGACAGTCCAATATTTTATAAAAGTGCAGCTCCATAACAGTTTATATAGCACCTTTTCACAATCTGGAGATGTCCCAAAACACTATGTAGCCAATGAAGTAATTCTGAAGTGCCATAATTGGAAATATGTCAGTATATTTGGGCACAGAAAGCTCCAAAAAATAGAAATATGACAAAAGCTGGATAACTGGTTTTATGATGTTAATTGAGCAATAAGTCTTGGCCAGAATACTGGCAAAAATCCCCCTGCTTCTCTTCAAAATAGTGCCTAGGAACTTGTACCTGAGAGAGCGGACATGAGCTCTTCTCTGAGTAGTGCAGCTCCGACAGTGAAGCATTCACTCAAAATATTGGCCTGGGCTGGCAACTTGGAATTATGTGCTGCAGTCTCTTTAGTGAAGCTGAAACTTGCAACATTTTTGCCTCGAGACAGGCATGCATTAGCAGCACACCCGACCTGAAGCGTTGACTTTCCTGCTCCTCTGATGCTGCCTGGCCTGCTGTGTTCCTCCAGCTCCACACTATGTTATCTCTGACTCCAGCATCGGCAGTTCTACTATCTCACCAACTTTGAAAGTTGGTTTGATAATTCACTGCATGATTCATTTAATTACATGTTATTTAAATACAGTTTCATCTGTGGCTGGCAGCAAATAGTGACAGTGAATCTTAAATGTATTTTATCTGTAATCTGAAACTTTGGAATTTATCTCCACCTAGGATGGTCGAGCTGATGTTGTAGCAAATGATGCAGGTGACCGTGTTACCCCAGCAGTTGTTGCTTATAGAGAAAATGAGAAGGTAATTGAAACCATTTTATTTCTTTGACATTGTACACATGGCCAGATTAGGAAAATCTCATTATTTGCTTTATTTGCTAGATTGTGGGCTTGGCAGCAAAGCAAGGTAGAATCAGGAATGCGTCCAACACTATCGTGAAAGTGAAACAAATTCTAGGCAGACGGTAAGTTTGAAGTGTTTGCTACCAGAACTATGTAACTATATCTTTACTAGCCACAGTAGAAATTGCTGTTCAGATGTTTGTAGCTCAAGTTGTGCTATGTGAATACATGACGTGTTTGATCATTTTATTTTAAAACGTGCAAGAGTTGTACATTTGTCTTGTCTGAGGAGGAGGCTGTGTTATACTGAAAATGAAGACAATGTTGAATAACCGATTACAATTTCATAAGTTAATCTAACATGTCAAACCTTTTGCTTTGGAATGCAATTCTTCAATTTTTTACTAATATCTTTGATATTAACACAATGTGTTCCATACGGCAAGTTAAGAATTGGAGTGGACTACTTTAGTTCTAATTTTACATTTAGTTATGCTATGCTCCTTGCTTAAAACACAAGGAGGTTCAGCAACTAAATAAGTGAATTGTACGAGGCCTTACTCTTTAGCATATCTTTTCTCCCTTGAATTTCATTTCTGACATCATTGACTTCTTTTGGAGTGCAATTTCACAGATGCCACAAATCCTTTGGTGAAATGGTCAGTCTTCGTGTACGAACCTCATGAAAAGTATTCGGAAGCTATTTGAACGTCGCGTTCTCAGATCTAAGTCAAGTGTTGCCCTTACCCAGTGGCCCGCAGGGTATTTAAAAATGGGAGGCTTAATACATCTGTATTAGAAAACTTGCAAATTATAACATGAAACCAGAGTAATCCATTCCAATGTAGGGGGAGAAGTAGTTCTGTTTCTAATAACATTAGTCCTGGAGGGATTTTTATCATTGGGATGGACTGCATCTGAACCTGACGTGGGCCAAGCCTCTACCAAAAAGGAGAAATATACAAGAGAAAGAGTTTTAAAACAAGCAATGGTGAAGAGAGATGAAATGGGTGAAAATATACTTAAACTGAAGGTGAGAAGGAATATGATCAAAGGCCAAAATAGAAGCAGTGATAAAGTTAAAATGTTCCAGGAATACTTCCTGAAGACTGTAGAAAATAAGAAAATATCCAACTAAAAAATAAAGCAGTTAGCTTGTGATTCGAAATGAGAACACATTGTCTGTATAGTATTGCAGAGTACTCGCGAAAGTGTGAGAAATACGCCATCTGGGCATGGAGATGGGATGGAGAGTGGTTCACAAATTAAACCTTTTTCCACAATCACGCTGGTATAAATGATAGAAAAGTTAAAATGGCAAATTTATATTACAGGGAATGATGCAGTGATTGTAGTGACGTGGATACAAGCTGCGCACAACTGTGAGCTAAAATATTCCAAACTCATGTGATGTTTAGAAAGGACAGAGCACATTGTGAAAGAATAGATAATAAAATGAATAAAATACAAAATGACAAATTAATACAAAATTGATTTTAAAAAAAATAGTGTTTTGGATATTGGAAATACAATCGGTAAATCCATGGAACAACTTAGATTTCAAGTCTTTGTTGGGAGTTGTCTGCAGACCTTGCAGCGATGCTGAGAGGAATTTAAATAGTGAAATTAGGATGACATTCTGTTTTTTTCCTGATACTAGAATATCAGTCTATTTGCATCATAGGACGCTGACTTTTTGCATTCTTAGGACAGGCTTACTGACTGCAGTGGGAGGGGCCTCCTGACATCTCTTGAAATTGTAAATTATATCGGGGCAGGTGTGGCACTATTTTAATCATGAGATGCAGTAGTCAGGATCAGGTGTGCTGTTTAATTCTGCAGCTGAAAATTTTAAACCCTCTGCTAGTTTTTCATCTCCCAACCTCCCACAAACACGGATGGCATGCAGAGATCAGCTCCAAAGATCCTCTAGCCGTGCAGACTTGTTTTTGATTGCTGTAGGGTTTTGCTTTTTTTTAATTCATTTGTGGGATGTGAGTTTGACTTGTCTGGCTTGTCTTGTACCTTGGTGGACAGTCTTTGGGGAGTAAAGAGGCGGATCACTTGCTGCAGGATTTCTAGCTTCTGACCAGTTCTTGTAACCGCAATATTTATGTGGCTAGACCAGTTCAGTTTCTGGTCAGTTGTAACCTCCAGGCTGTTGTTAGTGGGAGATTCAGTGATGGTAATGTCACTAAAAGTCTAAGGGTAATAGTTAGATTCGGTCTTTATGGTGATGGTCATTGCTTGGCACTGTGTCAGTTGCCACCTGTCAGTCCAGACCTGTATATTTATTGTCACTCTTGCAACGTTTGGACTTGGACTTCTTCAGTGTCTGAGCAGCCATTGCTGGTTAGAGGAATATTTTTAATATGGAAAATAATAGAGAAAGAAGGTTGACAGTCTGATAAGGGGGAATATTTTAGAAATGTGCACTAAACTGCTTAGCTCAAAAACAAAGATTAAATATTTGAAGTACAAACAGTTGAGAATGCATCTTTTGCTGTTCATTTCGAAAGAAAGAGTTGTGACCAAAACATTAACCCTTCCTTTTCCTTCTAGAGATGCAGGCTGCCCTTTCATGCATTTCTAACACATTGATATTTCTGGACAACTTGCTTTAGGTCAAGGTGAAGCAACAGTGAGAGTACGGCAGAAGAGGTCAGGATTTAGATGTGCACTTGCAATGCCAGTATATACAAGGCTATGGGCCATGTGCTGGAAAATGGGAATAATTGGTTCTTATTTTTAACTAGCAGAGAGTCGATTGGCTTTTTTTCTGAGATGTAAACCTCTCAGACTCTGACTTGTTATAGTTTCCATTTTAGGCCTATGCAGGAGCCTTTCCAGTTAGTAGGGCGTACAGTGACTGAAATGTAATAAATTGAATTACTTGTCTCTAGTCACTATTTTGTATGCATTTTGTAAAGATTTCAAAAGAAATAAAGTGTACTATCATTTTAAATGTTGATATTATTTCAATTAAATTGTGTTCTTCCATTTTCAAAGTTGTTTCTAACTTTTTGCTAGTTTTGATGATCCTCAAGTTCAGAAGCATGTGACAGAAAGCAAATGTTCTGTAAGTACTGAAATAAAGATGGCTGTGACCTATTTTCATAAAGTCTTTTCCATGGCTTTTTAAACTTGCTTTCTTTAAAAGCAAAATCCGAAACTTATTGTAGCTCGCAATTAGTCAACCAACTGACTGTCTTCCATTTTTGTTAATCAACTAAGAAAGCAACTGTTGCTATAGTTTGACTTATTGAAAGGTGCAATAACTTTTTAAGTGGCTCTTTGAAATATATTTTGGTCACTAAACGGTGGTCTTGACAATGTTTGAAATGCAAAAGCTTGCTTTTTTTTGTTTAGAAGCAAAAAAATGCTGGAAATTTTCATTAGTTTGAGTAGTTCCTGCGAAGAGAGAAATAGTGAACTTTACAGTTCGGTGACCTTTCATCATAACAAATGTGTGCTCCATTTTTAAGAGCACACCATAAGCGATGGTAAAAAGGAGAATATTGAGTGCATTCACTCCAAGTAGATAAAAATCCCATTGAACTGTGGCTGCTGAAAATCAGAAACCTAAACAGAAATTGCTGGAAAATCTCAGCAGGTCTGGCAGCATATATAGAGACAAAGCAGAGTTAATGTTTCACATTCAGTGACCATGTTCTGAAGAAGGGTCGCTGGACCCAAAATGTTAACTCTGCTTTGTCTCCACAGGTTGCTGCCAGACCTGCTGAGTTTTGCCAGCAATTTCTGTTTTTGGTTCCCTCTAAGTAGATTACTGTTTAGAATACAACTAGGCTCACATGTTGGTGGATTCACAGTGCAGAGTAGTGAAGGATATGCCTTCCCTCTGGCAGTGCAACATTATTCCTTTATGACTCTTGCACTCAAATTAAAACATTTTGTTTTTTTTACCAGTTGTATCAAATGTAAGAATATGAGAAAAGTTTGCCAAAACAGTACATTTGGCACCTGTTGATGATTAGCTCAATAACAAAAGATATTATTTTTATACCAGCTGCTTATCGAAAGGGAATAAGGAAAAATAAAACATTCAACAAATCTGAGTGTGACCAGAGCAGTCACACTTATGAACCACAAAATGTACAGAATTATAGTGGATATCAACCTTTTCATGCTCTGTGCAACAAAATATGTACAGTTTACATCCTGTTGCAATTATTTCGTTGCTCTTAATTTGACTCCAATTACAATAGAATTAATTTGAGTTCTCTTTTTAAATGTTTAAACAGGTTATTGAAAAGGATGGTAAACCTAGATATGAGCTTGATACTGGGGCAGAGCGTATGATTGTCCCCCCAGAAGAAGTAATGAAGTTGATATTTGCGAAAATGAAGGGTGAGTATAACTCTGTCAAGGAAGTGTACATCTAAAATTTTAATTTGTATGAATGAATGACTAGGCTTCCATGAGACATGTGATTATGGACTAGAGCAAGCATCTGCATATTGCACAACTGAAGGAAACTTTAGCCATGAAAATGTGTTGTTATATAATTCTCTCTGCGTATGAGCTCAAACTAATAGAGTACCACTTAGGAACATACGGAATGTTTTAATGAACTAACCAGCAAAATGACTAGAAATTAGATCAGTAATGGTCAAATGAGCAATATGAATTTATTGAGAGTTGAGAGCAGTTGCCCAAAGTACCAAGACAAAACTCATCTGAATATGGCACTAACAAGCCTGAGTCACAGGTGTGGGAGGGGGTTGATGGGGGTGGTCAGATGGAAAACACTGTACTAGCTGGAGGCATAACTGACATAAAGTAAAATGACTGTGGTTGTCAGAAATAACTTACCATCCTAACTTTGTATCTTTGTCTTAACTATTGTGGAATTTTCTGTTGAGGACCACAGGGTGTGGAAAGAGTTGGACCGGGTGGACAAAGTCAAAGTCACACAACACTGGGTTATAGTCCAACAGATTTATTTAAAATCACGAGATTTTGGAGCGCTGCTCCTTCATCAGGTGAAGTGGAGAGAAGTGCACAGGCACAGAATTACGTAGGCAGAGAGATAATGGCAAGGTAATTCCTGGAATTTTTGATCCTGCGTTGTCCATCCTGCATGCTCAATGACTTAATCAGTCTGACACAATGAAAAAATGATATCATTGTCCATGCAAGGTTACCAGGGTTAATGAGCAGAAAATCATGTAGGTTGAGGTATCCTTTCACCTCATCATCATTATGCTGATATTAAAAGAGGAAAGGAAACAACTTGCAGTTCTGTAATGCCTTTCACAAACACTTACAACAAATGAAGTACTTTTGAAGTGTAGTGAGTGTTGTAATGTGGGAAATAAGGCAATTAAAACTAATCTGCACATGGCAAACACAAATATGATAATGACTAGGCTTTTGTAATGTTCATTAAGGGATAAATATTGACAAGAACACAGAGGATAGCTGCCCTGCTGTTTGAAAAATATTCCATTTCATTCACCCAAGGGAGCCTCAGTTTAATGTCACATTCAGAAAATGACTTTATGGCACCTCCTGAATGCTTCAGTGAACTCTTAATGTTGATTTTAGTGCTCCAGCCCTAATATAGGACTTAAACCTACAATGTCTGTCTCAGGTGAGAGTGTTCCTAAATGAGCAATAGCTGATGAGGGTATTCATATTCAATGCTGGTGTAAAATTATGTAAGCAAAGGATGAAATCCCAGATAAAGCTGGAAATGCAGGAGAAACACAGCCGCCATAGCAATATCTCTGGAAAAGAAAACAGTAAATGTTTCAAATCAATCTGACTGGTCTGCAGAACTGAAAGGGACTGGAAAGAGCTGTTTTTAATGCTAATGTGAGACCGGGGAGGAGCAAGTGGAACAGATGGTGATGGTGTGCGGAACAAAAAACAATGGGAGTACTAATTAGAACATAGAACAGTATAGCTCAGTACAGGCCCTTCGGCCCACGATGTTGTGCTGAACTTTTACCCTAAACCTAAGGTCTGTCTAACTTCCACCCCTACTTTATACTTTCATCTATATGCCTGTCTAATAGCTGCTTAAATGCCCCTAATGAGGCCGTCTCCACTACCCTCTCTGGCAATGCATTCCACGCCTCTACCACTCTCTGAGTAAAGAACCTACCTCTGACATCTCCCCTGTGTCTACCTCCGCTCACGTTAAAACCATGCCCCCTCATAAACCTCCACCCTAGGGAAATGTCTCTGGCTGTCCACTCTATCTATACCTCTGATCATTTTGTACACCTTTATCAAGTCAACTCTCATCCTTCGTCGTTCTAAAGAGAAAAGCCCTAGCTCTCTCAACCTTTCCTCGTAAGACCTGCCCTCCATTCCAGGCAGCATCCTGGTAAATCTCCTCTGCACCTTTTCCAATGCTTCCACATCTTTCCTGTAATGAGGCGACCAGAACTGAACACAACACTCCAGATGTGGCCAAACCAGGCTTTTTTGTAGCTGGAGCATAACTTCACAGCTCTTGAACTCAATCCCTCTATTAATCAAAGCTAGTTGTGGTTAAGGAGTGATAAACATGTGAAATTGGTGCAAATGAGAGATGTGAAAAGGAGAAAATGGGCCCACTCTGCTGAGAGCAAAGCCAACAGTACGGTCATGTTCTGAAGTTGTTGAATGCAATGTTAAGTCATGGAGACTGTAAAGTGCCTAAGCAGGAAATGGAGCTGCTGTTCCTCCAGCTTGCATTGAGCTTTGTTGGATCACTGTAACAAACCAAGGATGGCAGTGTGAGCATGAAATCTGAGATAGTCAGCCAGCTTGTAATTGTGGCGTGCAGCATTAATTATGATTGTGGTTTGAGGTTACATAACCTAACCTAGTTTTCAGCTTTTTAAAAATTTCTTGTTGGTCAATTGGATTTATTTTTGTTTACAGAAACTGCACAGTCAGCATTGGGCTCTGATGCAAATGATGTTGTCATAACTGTCCCACTAGACTTTGGGAAGAACCAAAAAAATATTTTAAGGTAGGCTGGGCAGACCATTCTTAATCTATCCAATCATAAATGTTTAGATAGAACCACTTAATTGTGCATTTAAATGTTTGGCACCTTTTTGTTGGCGCACATCTTGTTATTTCCTTCTTGTTTCTGTTTTTTTGTTTGAGAGATTCTTCTGTGTTAACTTTGTGCTTTTTTTTTAGCCTGAGTACTGCAATCAGTAAGTAGCTATCTTAGAAATTAACAAACCCCAATTAAGAAAAGCAAACAGATTTCCAACACTCTTTCTTTGATCATGGATTTTCAAGTCTGACGCAGGTATTTCGATAATATTCTGTATGCTTTGTTGTGTAGACAGGCAGCCCAGGCAGCTGGTTTCAATGTCTTGCGATTGATTCATGAACCTGCAGCAGCTCTTCTTGCATTTGGAGTCGGACAGGAGTCACCTACTGAGAAAAGGTGGTGTATTTTGATATTTTAATGGTGTACTTTTATGATCTGTATTAGAAGCATTTCATTAGAATGTCATGGAGTGGTTAGTTTTAGTTATATATATATATATATATATATATATATATTTGCATTGTGATACTTGTGTTATTTCCAGCTTTGTAAATTGGATTTATGCACATGTTGTATTTTTTTTTAATAATCAACATTTTTATTAGATGATTCAGTCACAAACTAAATTTGCTGATAGACTCTAACAGAGTTGCTGTTTAACCTCAGGAATAGTATCTCATTCAGTTTAATTGTTCAAAACAATCTTATTATCTGCACTTAAACATTGGCCGATTAACCCAACTATTTCTAGCTTTCAGTTGAGTAAACTCATTTTGTGCAAGATAAGCAATGAAGTGCCCGGTTTTCATGTAATTTTATCTTTTTCTCTATCCATTTATAGTAATGCACTGGTTTACAAACTTGGTGGATCATCACTATCTGTTACAATAGTAGAGATAAATAGTGGCATGTACAGAGTCCTTGCCTCTCATACTGATGACAGCATAGGAGGAGAGTGTTTCACAAAAGCCTTGGCACTGTATTTAGCTTCAGAATTCCAGAGGTAAGAGCATATGCAGAAAGAAAGAGAACATGTTGGATCGCTTTCAACACGTACTCCACTTCTTGCCGGATTAAAATTCTGTACTTTTTATTTTAAAACAGATTGTTTAAGCACGATGTCAGGAGCAATATGAGAGCCATGATGAAGCTCATTAACAATGCTGAAGTTGCTAAGCATACATTGTCAACTTTGGGAAGTTCCAATTGTTTTTTGGATTCACTTCATGAAGGCTTAGATTTCGACTGCAGTGTATCCAGGTATGTATCGGTGCTGAATCTTATTAGTAAAACAGTGATTATAACATTAGGCCTCTGAAGCTTCTAGCTCTACAGCACCCAGCACCAGAGACAGGGATGAAAGACTTCTATCTTTGTTGTATTGTTCTATGATTCTATATTCAAGCTCCAGTTCCTTTGGTGCCTGCATTTTTCTAGTTACCTACTTCCTAGAAGGATTGTTACAATTTGAGAAAGTGGAAAAAAGGGGGCAACTTCTACTCTCAGTTTATTATAGAGATGTATTGAGCCGACTGTGGCTCCATTCCAGAGTTAAGAACTTATGCAGAAGGAATAGAGAACGTGTTGGATCACTTTCAATACTTACTCCACTTCTGCCAAATTAAAATTCTGAACTTTTTATTTTAAAACGGATTGTTTAAGCACGATGTAAAGAGCAATGCGAGAGCCATGATGAAGCTCATTAACAGTGCCGAAGTTGCTAAGCATACCTTGTCAACTTTGGGAAGTTCCAACTGTTTTTTGGATTCACTTCATGAAGGCTTAGATTTCGACCAGTTATACTTGCTCCAGTAATTCACCTGGAGTCAGAAAGTCTATTCACTGTCAGCACAGACTTTGCCTTTGTTGCACCTCGCTCAGCAAGTCTCTTGACTTGTACCCCTCTCATCACTGTACGAGCCAAGCCACCGAGACCAATTGTCAGGTTGAATTCTGAACAGGTCACCTGACCCTTTCACCTCGCCATTCTACCTTCAATGAAATGGACAGTTTAAAACTTTACAGCCTTAGAAAATCTCGCATTCATAAAAATGCCCTGGTTATTGATCACTCTGCTATAAAAGTAGATCCTCTTTACCCATTCTGTGTAAACTCTCATAATTTTAAATCTTCCCTCAATCTCCACTGTCCAAGCGCCAATAAAAGAAGACAGTGTTTACTGTTAGTTATTAACCTCATTGCTGTTACTTCTAGATTTTTTTGATTGACACATTTCATTGTTTCCTCACCTACGAATGTGTAGAAACGGTTTTGAAACAGTTTTGATGGTTAACATAAACAAAGTGTGATATTAAACTGGAAACCCGGTTCATGAGCTTGTCTGAATGTCTGTTGTATGACTATTCTTTCCATAGGCAACAAATCCAGAAGCTATCTAACACTTTACAACTCAATAAAGCTACAGTGTACTCTAGAATTTGAAATCTTTTATGCATAACAAACTATCTTTTTATTGTAATTCTACATTTTTTTTCAGAGCAAGATTTGAATCTGTATGTTCTGCGTTGTTCACTCAAAGTGTTCAACCTATTCAGAAGCTTGTAGAAAAAGCTGGACTTTCTGGAAATGAAATATCTAAGGTTAGCATTAGGATGCTTAACAATAAATGTTGACCTGAACCCTTGGATTTCAAAGACAACAAGGTGCAGGGCTGCATGAACACAGCAGGCCAAGCAGCATCATAGGAGCAGAGAGGCTGACGTTTCAGGCCTAGACCCTTCATCAAAAAAGGGGGAGGGGAAGGGGGTTCTGAAATAAATAGGGAGAGAGTGGGAGGCGGATTGCAGTGGGAGAGAGATCCCCTGAGGTTTGTCCGGAGGGAGAAGGGTAACTTCTTCAGGCTAGGCATCCTTAGAAGAGGCTTCGCAGTGGGGTTAAAATTGAATCAGAGATAGTAGGAACTGCAGATGCTGGAGAATCCGAGACAACAAGGTGCAGGGCTGGATGAACACAGTAGGCCAAGCAGCATCATAGGAGCAGAGAGGCTGACGTTTCGGGCCTAGACCCTTCATCAGAAAAGGGGGAGGGGACTTTGTCAAACTTCTTTATCCAGAGACCAGTTAGCAAGGCAAAAGACCCTATGAACTACCACAGGCCCTTTTGCTCACTCTTTTACCCGTCAATACAGCATAATGGGAATGATAAGTATTCTGCATTTTTTTGCTGCTTAAGATCATAAATTTGTGGATTTTTTTGCTAGTACTGCAAGTAAAATATTCCTGCCAAGGATGAATGTACAGTTGGTTCAAACAGTATAAGCTTTAGTATTCATAGAGAACATATTTATTTGAAACGTTCTAGCATGATATAAAATCATCACAATAATCAACTTGTGAATAACTATTCCTTATCTAACCTAAGCTATATTAATCACACCTAATCAACATTTAACATAAACCTTGCTCATAAACCGACACTGTAACAACTCGTGCACATATAAACCAGTCTGGTTATGTTGATGGATGCTAATGCCAAGAAACTGTTCGTGTTTTTGAAAGCACTCTTTAATAACATGACATGCTGTTAATATAGCATACAGTAGATTCAAAGTAACTTCTTTGTTGAAGCAAAACAAAAGGCAGGAAACAATCCCACCTATCCCAGTAGCATAGTTATTTTGCCAGTCATTCTTGTGACCTCTGAGGTTGCCATTCAGAGTAGCTTTTATTTAAATGCAAATCATAGCATTGTAAGGTTATTTCAATGTGAAACTTCCAGCAATCAAACTGTTCCAGCCTGATTTCCTATCTGCTAACCTCAACCTCACCATCAGAAACAGGCAACACATGTTCAGTGCCAGATGAGGAAAATACGAACAATCAGACCTCTGCTGATGTGATACCCTGACTGTGCATTGTGCATACACTCTCCTCTCTTCCACTGCCCTCCAAAAACAAATAAAGGACAACAGGGGAAACAGATGGGCATAGTCAATAGACAAAGGAAACATCTATGCAACAGTCTGAGATGGAAATAATCCAGGTCACGATAGTAAAATGACTTGGCCTATTATGCCAATTTGTTGAAACCATGATTCCTGTTTCTTTATGTACACCCTTTATGAAAGGTATAGTTACAAAGGGAAGTATTTGTTAATTGTAAGATAATATTTAATCTCTACCCTGTTAATAGGTGTAATGTACCATTGGTAGATCATACACTTGAGCAAACATTTTAGGAAATCCTGTTACTTACATCACTGTAAGCACATATGAATGTGAAAAAGCAGTATAAAGTCTCATTTAAAAATAAAGTTAAGACCTACTCATAATTCTAATGTTAGGGCTAGAGTAAATAATCATCTCACCCTACTAAAAAAAAGAAATTTCATTTCGATACAACCAGAGTTTACGATCAGATTTAATTGAAGGTAATTTGCAACACAGAGAGTGTTTGCCTAGCTTTAGTTCCAGCTATCCATGTGGACTCCCAAACATTCCATTCTAACTCTTCACGTAAAGCAATTTGTATGTTGCTTTGATTACTTCAGTGGTCAGATGTCGAGCAGTGATCATGTTAAACATCGTTAATTTGATATTTTACTAAAGTTAAAACTAGCCACAACCTTTATTTCAAGCTGTGGGTGTAAGCCCAAAAAACGTCTAGACCATTCTGAACGCACAGTACGCTACACTCTCTCCTTTGTTTGCTTGTTGACTCTCCCAATGTGAACATTCCTATGCGCCTTCAAAACTATCATTCTCAGATTTTTTAATTTAAAAAAATCACCATGCCCACAGAAATACTTATAAGTTAATCGTTAAATCCCTTCAAATGAACCTCATATGCTACAAGTTCAAATGCGCAATTGCAAAAATCCAAGCTCAACAATAAATAAAATTGAAATATACATTAAATCACATGCCTTGCATCACAAAAGTACCTTACAGTCAATCCGGGGCTCTTGAAATGTAGCCACTGTTGTAATGTACAAAACCCAAAAGCTAATTTCTGCACAACAAATTCCCACAACAACATAATGATAATCAGACAATCTGTTACTGTTGCTGATTTTTGGATAAAACTGTTAGGACAGAATGAATTTCCCTGCTCATTTTAAATCTGGTTTAAAACATAGAAATGTCGATATTTTGGATGCTGCAGTTAGGAGCATATAAAATAGAAACAGGAGTAGGCCATTCAGTCCTCCAAGCCTGTTCTGCCATCAAATAAATTGTGTCTGATCTTGCTATAAACAGTGGAAATATCCTGTCCACACCCACCCTTCTCCCTATGCGGTGAGGTTTTCCGCAATATCCTTTGTGGCACTTTATCAAATACCTTGTGGAAATTCCCCCTTTATCCACAGCACCTGTTAACTCCTCAAAGTGCTCTAATAGACGGTTTAAACATGATTCCCTTTCATGAAATTATGTTGACTCTGCCTGCTCACCTTGAATTTATTCAAGTGTTCAGCTATAACTTTAATAATGGTTTCTAATCCTTTCTGTATGGTTCACATTAAGCTAACTGGAATGTAGTTTCCTGCTTTCTGTTTCCTGCTTTCTGTCTCCTCCTGCCCTTTGCGAATATGGTAGGCATAGTATAATTTGCAAATTTCCGATCTAATGGACCCTTTCCTCAATCAAGGACATTTTAGAAAATTAAAATCAATGTTTCACCTATATCAGTAGCCATTTCTTTTAAGATCTTGTGTTGTAGATTGCAAAATAGAGAACATGACTGCTATATTCAAAAAGAAATGGAGACAGAAAACAGCAAACTACAGGCCACTTACTTAACAATTGCCGTAAGGAAAGTTTTAGTAGCTTCCACACTATCCTTGACAACCATCACGACCCCACCCTCTGAATGAGAATAAATTTGTTCTAATTAGAATCATACAGTAAAGTGGAAGCCCTTTGGCCCACCGAGTCTGCCCCATCAAAAAACTACTCTAAATCTACACTAGTCCCACTTCCTAGCACTTGATCATATTGATGAATGTTATGACATTTCAAGTGCTTATCCAAGCATGTTTTTGAGGTTTCCCACCTCAACTATCGTCCCATGCAGTGCATTCCAGATTCCACCACCTTTTGGGTAACAAACAAAAGTCCTCAATTCCTTAAGTGTTAATGTTGTATCTTTCTTTCTTTTTAGGTTGTTCTTTGTGGGGGCTCTGCTCGTATTCCAAAATTGCAGCAAATGATTCGAGATCTGTTCCCAGATGTAGATCTGTTCAGTTCCATCCCCTCAGACGAAGTGATAGCTGTTGGTGCAGCTATTGAGGCTGCATTGCTACTAGGGAAGGAGAACAGTTCATTGGAAGAGGAATCTGTAATTGTGGAGTGCTCTGCACGGAACATTGTTGCTAAGGTATTAAAATCTGATTCCAGGCCAAAAATAAACTTCTTTCTTGAGTTTGTATTGGCGTATCTAATTCTCCAAACCACATATCTCTGTAACTTACAGTGATAATCTATGATTTACCAACAGCTTTAATGAAAACCAGTGCATTACAGAATGTATATTTATTTGTCATTTGCCTGTAGTAGTGCCCCTTTGATTTGTGAACTGTACTGCCCTTCATGTTACTGTTTCATTTGCAGAAATGAATGTCTGTAATGTTTCACAACGTAATATTTAATCCAATGTGGGGTTTAATCCATTGTGAAGACAGAGTGCTCCACACTTTTATTATGAATATTATCCTGTACTGCTTAGGTGGAGAAATTGATAATTGCTTTGTCTACCCGTTAGTAAACAAAAATCGAGATTTAAAGATGGTTTGCCTTGTAAGCAATTCTATTAATACAACTTAATGCAGTAATATCATTGTTTATTCATTATATCCAGTCGATTGTGTAATATTCTATCTTTTTGTTTTCCTGTAGGAGAGTGATGAGTCTGGATCTGACACATACAAGGTGGTATTTCCATCAGGTACTCCATTACCAGCAAGAAAACATCATGCTTTTCAGGCACCGGGAAATGTTTCTTCTGTCTGCCTTGAACTGTACGAGTCTGGGGAGAAAGGATGTGATCCAGAAAGAAACAAATTAGCACAGGTCAGTTTTTGTTTTTTGAATCTTTACTGCAATAATTCTGTAGTCCAGAACGATGTGCACACTCATTTGATGAAAACACTGAAGGCTAGGATTGAAAAGATTCTTCAGTTGTAAGGAAGTCGAGAGGATCGGGGGATTGTGTGGGGAAGTAGATTTAAGTTTGGAAATCAGGCATGATCTCATTTAATCGTTGAGAAGGATTGAGGGGCCAAAAACCTGCTTCTAGACAAGGCTTCTGAAATCTGGAAGAGAGAAATTGTGAGGGAGGCGAGACAGAAAACTGTCAGAGCACTTGATACTTTTTGGAAAAAAAAAACCTCCGTGTTGTGTTGAGCCTTATTTCAGTAGATGCTGATGTGTTTCTTCATGGGCCACCTTAGGCAGCGAGGTTTGGCAAACTGTTTAATTTTGGATTTCGTTATCATCAAATCTTGTCCTTATCCTCTTGTCCATTTAAACGTAGTCCAATAAGTTAATTTAATGGTAAATTAATGTAACTAATGTAAACATCCACTGGACCCCTTCCAAGGCCAAAACATCCTTCCATACATAGTGGGCCCAAAACTACTCTCAATGTTCCAAACGCAGTCTGACCAGAGCCTCATACAGCCTTAAAACTACATCTCTGCTCTAGTATTCTAGCCCTGTAAAAAATGAATGCTAACATTGCATTTGCCTTCCAGACTGCCATCTGAGCCTACATGTTAGCCCTAAGAGAATCCTGAACTAGGACACCTATGTCATTTTATGCTTCAGATTTCCAAAGCCTTTTTCCGTTAAGAAAATAGTCTATGCCTCTGTTCTTCCTAGCAAAGTGCATATCTCACGCTTTTTCATTGTATTCCGTCTACCGCTTCTTTGTCCATTCTCTTAACTTGTCCAAGCCCTTCAGCAGCTTCCCCGCTTCCGCAACATTACCTGCCTCTCCACTTATCTTTGTCATCTGCAAAGTTAGCAACAGTGCCTTCAGTTTCTTCATCCTGATTGTTCATGTGAATAGTTGTATTTCCAATACTAAGCCTTGCGGAACTCCAATAGTCACCAGCTGCCATCTTGAAAATGATCCCTTTATCCCTACGCTCTGCCTCTGCCAGTCAGCCAATCCTCTATCCATGCCTGTACTTTGTCCCTAACATCATGGGCTCTTGTCTTATTTAGCAGCATATTGTGTGGCACCTTGCCAAAGGCTTCCTGGAAATCAAAATAGATTGCGTCCACTGGCTCTCCTTTGTCCAGCTTGCTTTTTACCTCCTCAAAGAATTTGAACAGATTTGTCAGGCACGACCTTGCCTTGACGAAGCCATGCTGACTCCACCCTATTTTACCATGCACTTCCAAGTACCCCGCAATCTCATCCTTAATAATGGACTCTAAAATCTTACCAATGATCGAGGTCAGGCTATCTGGCTGTTAAGTTCCTTCTGCCTCCCTCCCTTCTTACATTAGCTATTTTCCAATCCTCTGGGACCGTCTCTGACTCCAGTGATTCCTGAAAGATCAGTAATAATGCTTCCACAATCTCTTCATCTATCTTCTTCAGGATGCTGGGGTGTAGTCCATCCAGTCTGGGTGACTTATTCACCTCAGACTTTTCAATTTCCACAGCACCTGTATCATAGTGACAGCCACTACACTCACCTCTATCCCCTGACTCTTTTGAAGTTCTGCTACCAGTGTCTTTCACTCTGTAAACTAATGCAGAGTACCTATTCAGTTGGTCCATTGTTTCTTTGTTCCCTATCACTGCTTCTGCAGCCTCGTTTTCTAGTGGTCCAGTGTTCACTCTTGTCACCCTTATATAATGTAAAACTGTTTTGCCCATCAGATGCTCATGTGTGTCCCCCCCACTTCCCCAAACTGGTCCTTATTGTTGGTAAGATGTCCTCTGCTGGATTTTGAAAGGCTTCCCAATCCTCTGACTTCACCACATTGTATGCTTTTTCTCTTACGTATTTGCTGTCCCTGACATCCTTTGTCAGCCATGGTTGCTTCATTACACATCACCAAATCCAGAATTGCCTGTTCTCGTGGGCTGTACCACAGGCTACTCCAGAAAATTCATCTTGTAGATATTTCACAAGGTCCTTTCATTGAGATCACTACTAACCTGATTTTTCCAGTCCACCTGCATATGGAAGTCCCCCATGAGGATTGTAATAGTGCCTTTCTTGCATGCATTTACTATCTCCTGATTTTATTTCTTCCTCACATCCTGACTACTGCTGGGAGGCCTGTACGCAACTCCATTCAGGGTCTTTTTTGTTTTCCCCTTTGCAGTTCCTCATCTGTACCCTGATAGATTCTGCACCTTCTCACCTTGGATCACTTAGAGTCATAGAGTCATACAGGATGGAAACAGACCCTTTAGTCCAGCCAGTCCATGCTGAGCATAATCCCAAACTAAACTAGCCCTGCCTGTCTGTGCTTAGCCCATATCCCTCCAAACATTTCTTATTTGAGTACTTAGATGCCTTTTAAACATTGTAACTGTACCTGCATCCATGACTTCCTCTGGAAGTTCATTCCATGCATGATTCAGTGTCTGCGTAACAAAAGTTGTCACTCATATCTTTTTAAAATCTTTCTCCTGTCACCCTGAAAATAGTCCCCTAGCCTTGAACTCGCTCACCCTGGGGAAAAGACACTTGCCATTCACCTTATCTATACCCCTCATGATTTTATAAGATCACTCCTCAACCTCCTATGCTTCAGTGAAAAAAGTCCCAGCCTATCCAGCCTCTCCCCATCTTGATATTGATTTAATTTCATTTCTTATTAACAAGGCAAATGACCCCTCCACCACCAACCCGCCAACCCACTCACCACCCACCCCCACCACCAACCACCCCACCACCACCACCACCCCCCTCCCCCATCCCATCCTGCCATCTGCCTGTCCTTTCAATAGGACACATATCCTTGGAATTAAAATCACTAAATCATCATTAATTGCTGACGTTGTCAGGGGTTTCTGGGACATGTGTTTTTTGCAGTTCCCCACCTATCCCTTTTCCTTTGATTCTGGTGCAATGGCAGGTTTGCACAAGAATGCTGATTTTATCCATTTGTACCTGCCGGCAACCATCCAGATCTAACTAACGTAATATATTTTTAAAAATTACAAATGTTCAATCGATGAATTCTGAAGATTTCCTCTGCATTATGTCGAGTCAAATGTTGATTCTATGTATGAAAAGTGAGTTTATGATTTTGTTACACAGTGTAGATGGTAAAAAATCTTCCATTATTCAAGGACAAGGTTAACATTGCATCTGACTAGAATTTGGTGTGGCTGTTGTAGCTAAAACTCGTACATGGCATGACCAATACGTGTTCTATTGCCACAAGGGATGCTAGTACAGTTTAGGTTTTGATTACTTTATTTCTGTTAGTCAGTTTTTCCAGTGTTTGGTATTTGTGGACAAAGCATTGTTTTCTTCCATAGTTTACTTGTGTTTATTACTTGTTGTTTGATGATGTGACAGTCTTTTTCTCTATCGAGCCAGCAAAGGAAGATGTAGTGTGAGGCTGAGGTGTAATTGGCTAGCCCAGTGACCTCGTGGACAGGTCTTCTGTAGTCCTTGTAGCCATATAATGATTCACAATAGAGGAGGTCATGTAAATAGCAACAAACCCTATCTGGAAATGTTATCTTTTTTGAAAACAGGCACCTTAATCGAGACACCTTGTTTGCTCATTCAGCTGAACGTCCGAAAATACATACAAATTGTTTTACTTTTTTTAAACCCAAGCTGAGACAAAAAACATAATCTAATATATTGTTAATACCATAGGTACATTGTGCTGATATAAATAAATATAGATGAAATAAGCAAATAGAGAAAGCACAATGGTAGAATGAACCTCTTCAATAAAATACCAATGGGAAACAAATTCTGCAGACGCTGGCCTTTTTTCTATCGTAAGGTTAGAAGTGGGTAATGTTTGCTGATGATTGCACAATTTGCAGCACCATTCAGACTCTCCAGATACTGTTTTAAAAGTAGTTTAACTATTAAATGTTGTACAGTGTTTGTTTTTTAATTTGCTATGAGATGTGGGCTAGGCTAGCATTCATTGCCCATCCCTGATTACCCTGGTGAGGGTGGTACTGAGCTGCCTTCTTACACTGCTGCAGTCCAGTTGATACAGAGACACCCACAGTGCTGTTAGGAAGAGAATTCTAGGATTTTGACAGTGAAGGAACAGTGATATAATTTCAAGTCAGGATCGTGTCCATCTTGGAGGGAACTTGCAAATGGTCTTCTGATGTGTTTGCTGCCCTTCTCCTTCTAAGTGGTAGGGGCTTCTGGTTTAGAAGATGCTGTTAGAGCTTTGGTGATTTGTGTACTGAATCTTTGTAGCTTATTAACACTGCAGCTCCCATGCATCGCTGGTGAAGAAAATGATTGTTGAAGGTGGCGGATAGGATGTAGTCAAGTCGAGACAATGCCATCACATTCCTGATTTGTGCTGGACAGGCACTGGGGAGTCACAGACCTGCTCTTGCAGCCACAGTATCAATGATGATCCAGTCAGTTTGTGGTCAGTAGCAACCCCAACATGTTAATAGTGAGGGATTCAGTGATAGTGATGTCATTAAATGTCAAGGGATGATGGTTAGATTCTCATTTGTTGAAGATGGTCATTGTCCAGCACTTGTGTGGCATGAAAAATATTTCCCACTTATCAGCCCAAACCTGGATATTGTCCAAATCTTGTTACATTTGGACATGGAGTGTTTCAGTATTTGAGGAGTTGAAAATATTGCTAAAAATGGCGCAATCATCAGTAAACATCTCTACATCTGACCTTATGCTGGAAAGAAGGTCAGTCTCTATAGAGTTTGCATTCTGTGCTTATTTTAATTGAAGAGACTAATGTATCAATTTTATCTTGTTTAACAAGTTATTGGAGGGTAGAACGTCAATGCTTCTGTTTTTCTCCTCCTTTCCCACCCCAATATTTATTTACCTCACTATAATCCCTGCTACTCCTCATCATTAAAGTTCAGAACTTAATAGGTTGCAACATAGTAGTCCAGGTTTCTTCATACTGATAGCCACACTTATGTTCTATGCATCGTGTTTCTCTTAGAATTAACTGTCAACTTTTGGACAGTTTTCAGGTGAAACCGGTTTTACACCTGGGAAGACTATGTAGTTTATTGTGCAATAATTGTAGTATTTTGATCAGATGCATGATTAGAATGCTCCATTCTACCCATCATTGTATTGTTTAATTTTGTTTTATTGATTTAGATTGTACTGAAAGATTTACAACTGAAGGAAGATGGCAACCGTGACATTCTAACAGTTCTCACCATGAAAAGGTGTGTGTTTGAAAGTTTATTTTGGGAGAATTTGAGAGGGTTGTGTAGGATATTTTAACTAGTTTTTCTTTCGGTTCTAAAATTGTGTTGTAATCCTTTTTAACAGATGTGTGATTCCACAGCCATCAATTGGCTTTTGATATATTTCTCCTTTTTTTTCCCCCAGTCC